AGTGTGGCTCAAGTGGTAGACTGCCTGCCTAGTAAGTGAAAAAGAAAACCTAACCAATTAGCCTATAGGTCCATTTCAACATGTTGGTGATTTTTTAAAAATGCTATCAGGCAGATGAGAAAAATTGTCAATTGCTATTCTCTGTCTTCTTACCAGGGTGGCATTTTTGTTCCCAGGGTTTCATATGAATTATGGTCTGAGAGTTTGGGACTCCCTGTACTGACGTTGATCTGATTATTGAGTGTGCTCACACTTCTACACTTGCGTCCAAAGACATGGCACAGCCCTACCTGACCTCCAGTTCCCCATCCATGTTTCCACCTATGGCTGTGTCCTCTTGGTGTGAAGGCAAGACCTCCATAGGGCAAGCTCTCCCACTGTGGCATCATACCTCCCTCTGCTGTGACATCCTAGGAGGCTCTCCTTGCTGCCCTCTGCCCCATTCCATGGTGGGAACAGAGCTCACAGTCTTCCACACTTGGATTCCCAAACCCTAAAAGATTTCTTTCAGTTGGTTCTTCCCCTCCCTACTTCTCCCACCACAGTCTTTCCCAGAAGTGAGCTGGGATGTGGTGTCTTCTCTTGCCTCCTCCTCCACTCCATGAGCAACTTTCCCTCATCAGAAAGGTCAGGAAGAAGAGTTTGTTTAGCGACAGTTTTTCTGAATCCTTTGGCCTTTGGCTGAGAGTTGCTTTAAAAAAAAAGAGCCAAGGAACTCACTCTCTATATTCCCTGACACCTCTCTGCCACCCCATCTTGGGGCAGTGGGAGCCTCACAGTCTGCTGCTTGACTGGGGAGGGTCACAGGATCAAAAGCAAGTACACGGAATAATGCAGCAGCAAATTGTTCACACACATCTGGACATGCATTTTATGTAGCCATTTCTAGCAATCTTGACCTAAGAAATCTCAAGATTATATTTTATGTAATAGAAAAATAACTAAAAAGACAGTGGTTCTTTGAATTGGGGTATCCAAACCCTCAAACACACAACATATTAAACCACAATAGAATGTAAGATGCATTATATAAAAGATTTGTCCAGAATTCAGCAGGAAATGACTTCATCTTTGCATCTGTGGCCTTTAAACTGCTTATGTCTGAAGTTTGAAATGGAAGGAGTTTGTTGCCTGGGCACCAGAGGGTTAAAGGAGCTGATACTGTGACTCAGTTTTCTACCATCCCATGGGAATTCTACAAGGGTTGACGGTAGTAGGGGGAACTAGGCCCAGACTGTCAAGTCCCTTCCTAGCAATTCCTAGCAATTCCTGCAAATGTAGAAACATCTGTTGGTCCGGGTTGGGAAATATCCCATATCCAAGCCCCCAGTCATGATCTTCTCTGTCACTTCCCTGTTTTTTCGTGGGACCTTGTATTAGTCAGTTTTCCATGACTATAATGAAATACCTAAGGTAGGCTAACCTTATAAAGAAAAGAGGCTTACTTAGCTCACAGTTTTGCAGGTTCAAGAGCATGGTGCTTGCACCAGCTCAGTTCTGGTGAGGACCTTTTGCTGGCAGGCAGATTCGTGAGGCAGTACATGTGTCACATAGCAAGAGAAAGTGAGTGAGCATGTCTGTGTCTGTTGGTCTGGTTTCTCCTTCTTCTTATAAAGCCACTATTAGTCAATCATGGGAGCTCCACCCAACCAGAGGACAAATGAAATTCAAAACATAGCAGATGTCACTCTCTGAGCCACTGAAGCCCTGTGTCAGCATCCTTCTTGTCTCCAGCCCCACATAGACAGCTGTTACTCCCCTCACAGCAAAAAACCACCAGTCCCTTTATTTTACTCCCTTTTCATCATGCTCCCATTTTAGAAGAAGAAATAAAGGCTCAAAGAAGTTGTGATTTTCTTGAAACCATGCTGCTAATACCCAGTGGAGAGAGAATGTTCCAGTCAGGTCTCTGCCTTCAGCTCTAGGCCTCTTCCCATTAGATCAACTTTCCTGAAACTCAGTCACCTTGTGGCTCCTCACCATCCAGGATGGTGCCTGGATTCCTCTCCTGCCGAGCACATACCAAGCCAGGTGCACTCCTCACATCACTGGCTGTCCTTTGCTGGAACTGTGCCTTGTATGCAGAAACTACCTTTCCTCACACAAAGCCCTGTCCTGAAGGCCAACTCATTCTTCATGGTCTTCTCACATGTAGCCTTTGCACTTACTCCTCACCTCCATCCTCATGAGTGAACCTTTCATCAAGACACCTGAGTGGGGAAGGAGGTGAGAGTGAGTCTGGTGATCTTGCCCCCCAGTACAGCTGGTCCAAAGTAAAAAAGCTCACATGTGCTTTTGCCCCATTCATTATGGGAAAATATTTTCCCCTTCTTCAGGGAGCCCCACCCTCCTCTACCTTTCTTTTCTCTGGTTGTCTAAATTTCCAGATTCTTAGCAAAGAGAATTCAGAAAAATAATATGGTTGACACTCTATCATGGTCAACTGGGGGAATGCAGTGTAACCCTTTTTTTTTTTGTATTCAATTTGTAATGTGTGTATTTTAGTGAATTGTTGTTTCAATAGAGTGGATATCTATATAAATTAAGTCTCAAAGCACCAGGGGTAGGCAAATTCCTTGGCAATTTTAATGTGCTACACAATAATAAAGCAGAATATAGTGCATGGTGCAGGCTGAAAAGACTTAATGCTCCCAGTTTATTGCAGATGCGTGCTTTACAAAAATATTTAGTCAACTGAACGTTCAAAGGTATAGGTAGAACATCATGTTAAAAATATTAGTCCTTTTAATAAGAGGAACGCTGTTTCAGACTTTATGTTTATAGTAACTAGAGGGATAGTCTTGATCACCCAGCCTCCTGGTGGCAGTTTGGGAGGAGGAATGGGCCCTTCACTTTTCTAGAATGAGTCAGTGCTACAGCTCTTTAGGGTACTGGTTTCATGTCCTATCTGTCACTTGCCTTGCAATCTTCACTGGGTAATCTAATCCCACTAAAGCTCAGTGTCTCAGTCAGCTTGGGTGGCCATAACAAAATATCATAAACTGAGTAGCTTATAAACACAGTTCCAAAGACTAGAGATCCTAGGTCAAGGTGTGGACATGTCTGGTTTCTGGCAATGCCTTGTTTTCCAATTCACAGATGGTTCTTTCTAGCTGTGTCCATGGTAGCAACAGCACCAGAGCTGCATTGGACCTCTCTTGTAAGGACACCAATCCCATTTATGAGAACTCTGCCCTCTCGACCTAGTCACTTCCCACTGCATGCTTAGGGTTTAGGATGTCAACATAGGAATTTCGGGGCAGGGAAGCACTCTTACCTCCTCAGGTATGAAATGGGGTAAAACAGCTCCCTTTCTGAATGATTGTATCTATTAGATAAGACTACATGTGTAGAATGCCCAATCCATCCTACAGAAGTCCTCCTTTTCCTCCCAGATCCTCATACCTAACACTATAGAGGAGAAAGAGCTGTTTGCTGTCATAGTTGCCACAAAAGTATGCAAGCAAATATAATTAAAAATTTTTTTGATACTTTAATTGCCTCTTTTAAGGAATTTTGTACTTTCTTAGTTTTAAAACACTAATAAAGCCAGTGGTGATGACACATACCTATAATCCCAAACACTTGAGAGACAGAAATAGTGGAATAGAGGTCCCAGGCTGGCCCAGGCAAAAGTGGGAGACCCTATCAGCAAAACAAACTACAAGTAAAAGGACTGGGTTTTGCTCAAGTGGTAGAGCAATTTTGAGGCCCTGAGTTCAATCCCCAGAACCACCAAAAAAATCACTTTAATTTTCCTAAAAGTATTAAGAACTAAATTAATATGCATTTGGGAGTATGATAATATTTTTTAAAATTCAGTATTTCATTAGGTAAAAATGAAGAATGAGTTGTCAGGGAATCACAAACTTGCAAATGTTACAGGTAGACTCCTCATACGTCATTCTCAGTCTGAAGTTTCTTTTCTCTTCGCAAGCGTAGCTCACACCACAGTTTAGTAATCCTGCCAGAGCCCCCAGGAAGCAGATGATGGGACCCTAGTTTGCCATGAACAGTAGAAGTACCTGAGACTGAAAATTCCCTTTAGAGTAGGTGGTGAGGTAGGAAGGATCCTTTAGAGAGAAGGAACGAATCAGGTGAGGTATGTACAGCATCATCACTTGTAATCCTGATAAATGGAAAGCAAATTAGACGGCACGATGTACCCATGGTGCATCCAGAGCATTTGGGGTCATTTCATGACTATAAGGAATGAGCTAGAATGGGGTGTGCTGACCGAAATATTTCCATGACAAACTGAAAGAAACAAAACAAATTCTAAAACAGCCTATATGATGTGATGACTCACCACTCATTTAAAAGAGAAGGGAAAAAGGAAAGAAAAGCAAAAAGGAAGGAAGGAAGGAGGAAGGGAGGGAGGGAGCAAGTCTGCAAATTTTCTGTAACAGGAGCTTTCAGTCTTCCGGAAAGGGCTCTCAATAGAAAACACATTTCATGTCCTGGCTGAGTGGACTCTTACTGCATGCAAGGCACTCTGAAACTTTTCTGTCCTGTTCCAATTCATTCCATTCCATTTTTTCAAAATGCTGCTCATAACCCATTAAGTTGCTTTCAGGATTCAAGTATAGTTTGAAAAATACTGTTCTGAACACACACACATACACACACACACACACACACACACACACACACACACACACACACGGAGACGGGTAGAAAAGGGGCTGAGAGGCAACACACCCAGCTGATATCAGTGGGATGGCTGTGATGGTGGTGGTTCCAGAGAGCCTTGAGCATCATCTGTAAAACTTGTTTTGTTTGATTTCTTGCATGTTTTATAAGGGGAATGTGCAATTAAACATTTGAAATTTGATTTTTAGAGTGTATGCAATCAAAGTTATTTTCAAAAGTCTAGGACTTACTTGGATGAGATGGTCATGGTTAGAGGGTATTAAGAAAACAACTTTTAAGTTAAATTGCATAGTTGATTAGTTGAGAAGGCAGGAATTCTAGCTAACTCTGTCTGTTTTTATATTTAGGGCCACAGATGAGTACATGCTTGTGGCAAGGTAGAGTCAAACCTGTGTGAATCCCATCCCAAATGTCATCACAAACCTAAGAATGCTCAACCATGCTGTGAGATTTTAACTTGCTACCTATGAGTGGTATATCTACAAATCAAAAAAAGAGTAGTCGACCTAAAAAGGCTAAAAAATGAAGCCTTCCATTTTCAGAACATGCAGAGTTAATGTTTCTGTAGCAACATCAACTCTGCTCTGTTACGTAGTGTCCAACTTTTGGATTGGTTTTAGACAAAGAAGTAAATTTTAAAAATTATTTCTGCAAGGAGCAGCACTGCAGAAACTGTGGCATATGGATGCTTGGAACAGACAGCACCAGTGTTCTGTTTTACCTTTGCATGTTTTTGCCTTAAGGGTAATTTATTAAGCCTCATTTTAATTACTAAATAATTGATGATTAAAAGGAATTAGGCACAGTGTATAGGAAAGACTGACCCTTTACCTTGCAAATGTGTAAACAGGAAATTAACAACAAATGACTGAGAACTAGACTGTTTCTAGTGCTAATTTTTCTACCAACTCAGTAAAGACATCCATAAAGAGGATGTTTATGTTATATTCTCTTTTCGTGACTTAGATATAAATTTTTATATGCTTATATAATTTTTAAAAAGTTGACTCTTTTAAACAACTACATTAAATTTTTTTTCTTTAAATGTTTTGAAAACAAAATGTTTTTGGTAAAATATACAAGCTTCCTCAGAAAGCACTTATATAAGAATCATTTTTAGAACTCTTTAATTTTGCTAAAGCAATGATTATACTCAAATTTACTTTCAAATAGGCTCAATGTTGTTTGGTGGGAAGAAAAGTGGGCCTTTTCTTCCTGAATTGTTGCAGGAAGTGTGGTAAAGGAGAGGAAGGGAACAGGCAGAAGAAGAAGGGGGGCAGGGTAAGAGACAGCCACATGCCTGAAGTTTCTCTTCCATTTTCTCCAGTATGGTCTGTGAGTGAGAGGAGGCAGAAGTGGCTGTGGCTTACATAGGGATCAAAGCCATTCCTTTAAACAGCTTTATATTTCCAAGTGAAAAATGGACCACTTATGGTCACAATGCACAACATTGGGGAAGCAACAACTTGACACCATTAGCCTGAATCTGAGAAAATGATGTGGTTTTACAATGAGAATTCAGGATAAGTTACAAATATGTCCAACTTAGACTTAGAAAGAAATTCAAATGAAATTTCCAGTTCATAATAATCAAACATTTGAAGGTTGTTTAGTTCCAGCTAAAAGAAATTTTGTTTCTTTGCTCTGAAAAAAATTCTTATTTGGTGTTTGCATTTAATAATTTTGATAAATTTTGCTTAAAGAATCATGGAGGGCGTAATGAATTTAAAATTTAAAAATGTGAGAGCCTTTTAACTGCACATGTGCAAAGCAGGGCTTTTCAGTGACCACAGTATCCAAGGCACCGCTGACTTCTGATGGCAGTCTGCTATAATTGCAGGCAAAACATACAAGGGACAAATGGTCTTTCCAAATGTTATGACAGGTAACATTATTATGGTACTTAGAAGCATAAAAAGGAGGAAAAGCATTATTTATTCTATATCAGAAGATATTGAAGCATTGAAGGGTCTCTGCATATTGTCTCATTGGAAGGTTGAGGTCTTTGCTTTAATTTTTTTTTTCCAGATTTTTCCCCATTTTGCATTCATATCACTTTTGAAAGAGAACTTGACTAACTGCAGAATTTTTCACCGGCAGCATCTGCAGGAATCGCTGTGTCCCAGAGAAAAGTACGTCAGATCAGTGACCCTATTCAGCAGATGTTAATTCAGCTGCATAAAGTCATCTACATCACCCAGGTCAGTGTTTCACCGTCCAAGCGTGTCACTTTCTTTTCATCTGAAATACAAGTTTGATGCAAGTTGCTGAAGAGCTAACCACCTTCTGGGACTTTCAGTTAGAGTCAATACTTGTGATTTTCCTGTCCAGCTGCACATATGCGGAGATACTGGCTCAGCAGCAAAGCTGGGAAGGCAAGAGGGTTGAAAAGCACATGTTTCAGGTCTTGCCTTTGACATTTAGCCTGCTTTCTCACTGTTAGAGCCTAACCAAAAACAGACTCCCGTACAATGGTCCTTCAGTGTGGGAGTGAGGGTGGAAACAGAGCTGGGCTTGCATTTCCACAAGCAATTTTATTAAAGGAAGGAAAGAAATGTCCCCTTCATTCGTTAATTCTGAGGATGCTGGGTTGATACCAGAACCTCTCAGAAATGTCAAAGCTAAAACCACACACAACCCAGGATTGTTCAGACTTTTTATTTGTGAGTTTACTGACTCTTAGACACCGAGGGAGAAAATCAGCACTGAAAAGTTGCTGTTAATTATTGACACAAATCTCTCTAGTAGTATACAACTTGAATATTCATTCACTAACGGTATGTACTATTAATTAAAAAGAAAATTTTTCAAGAAATAATTGTAGACATTAGGACAAAAAAGTAATTGTTATTTTGAAGTTTAATATTGTATGTCTTATGGAGCTTATTCATTTACTCATTTGATATATAGATATATAATTAGTAAGTGCCTATCATGTGCCAGACAGTATTCTAGTTGCTTGATATATATCTGTGAGCAAAACATAAACATTTCCTCCCTCTAAGAGTCAAGAAGCCAATGTTGAACTGTTGTTGGTTGCCAGTTTTGACATTCTAGTCATACACTCGGCACTACAGAGAAATACTGCAGGGTCAGCAGGCCAACTGGGGCTCACCGAGAGAACAGCTTAAGCCCATTTTGTCTGTCCCTTAATTCCTCTCCCCGCAAAGAAGGAACTAAGAAACAAACATCTTTTTTTTTATTCATATGTGCATACATTGGGTCATTTCTCTCCCTTACTGCCCTCCCTCCCCACACCCTCTTCCTCTTTCCCCCAATCCCCTCACTTCCAAGCAGAACCTGTTCAACCCTCTTCTCCAATTTTGTTGAAGAGAAGGCATAAGCAATAATAAGAAAGACATAGCGTTTTTGCTAGTTTGCGATAAGGATAGCTATACAGAGAGATTCCTAGCATTGCTTCCATTCACAAGTGTATTACAACCCGAATTGATTCATCTCTACCAGAGCTCTTCACTACTTCCCGATCACCTTCCCATAGTGACCTCTGTTGTTTTAAGGTTACTGTATTAGCTCCTCTGCAGTGGGGACATCAAACACTTTCAAGTTTTGGGTGTCCTACCTTTCGCTATTCCTCCTGTATGTGTTCTCCCCTTAGCATGTGACCCATGTCCAATAATATTACTGCATTTGTTTTAGGTCTATAATCCACATATGAGGGAGAACATGTGATTTTTGGTCTTCTGAGCCTGGCTAACTTCGCTCAGAATGATGTTCTCCAGTTCCATTCATTTACTTGCGAATGACAAAATTTCATTCTTCTTCATGGCTAAGTAAAATTCCATTGTGTATAAATACCATATTTTCTTGATCCAGTCATCAGTAGTGGGGCATCTTGACTGTTTCCATAACTTGGCAATTGTTAATAGCGCTGCAATAAACATGGGTGTGCAGGTGCCTCTAGAGTAACCTGAGTTGCATTCCTTTGGATATATCCCTAGGAGTTGGCTTGCTGGATCATATGGCAGATCTATTAATTTTTTAAGATCTTCTTAATTTTTTTAAGAAGCCTCCACATTGTTTTCTAGAGTGGTTGTACTAGCTTACATTCCCACCAGCAGTGTCTCAGGGTTCCTTTTTCCCTGCATCCTCACCAATATTATTTGTTGGTAGTGTTGCTAATGATGGCTCTTCTAACAGGGGTGAGGTGGAATCTTAGTGTGGTTTGGATTTGCATTTCCTTTATGGCCAGAGATGGTGAGCATTTTTTCATGTGAATCATTTTGATTGGTGTAACAAGGCTGCACTGTAAGACTCTAGGAATTAGTGTTGATTTACAACTCATGTCCCAGCATTCCCATAAAGTCTGTGTATTCCTTTCTCTAGTAGATGGTCACTCTAGTAAATGACTGTGGATCTTTTAGGGGAAAGCTTGGAGGACAATTTATAGTGTACATCTGTAGTGGTGTTTTGGAATCCCTCCTCAATGGACTCTGACTTCCTTATTAGCCAAGGAACTTCAGGTCTTTGAATTGGCTTAGGTCTGGAAACCATGCGAGAGGCTGTGACTGCATAATGCAATATCTAATCTGGCCAGGATTTTGTCTACAAGATCTACAGCTTCTTTTCTGTTATTTAAACCCCCAAAACTCTAGTAGGCTGACCCTCAAGTTCTCTTTCTGGGAACAACCTGGCTAATTAACTAACCCCGTTAAGGTAAATGTTCCTGACCTCCCGCTAGTAGCTCAGCCTCTGCTAGTAGGCTGCACTGGAATACTGTATCCTTCTGCATCATACTTGGCCCACAAAGAAGAGCAGCCATGGAGGTTTCCAAATTTGCAGGGGCTCTTGTCCAGTATACCTGCCAACACCTTGCTAGAAGGTGTGCTTTCTGGGGATTCTTGCTAAATCTCATCTGGGAAAGGGGAATGCAGATCACACAGTAAATCTGTGTTCCTGTTTCTCCAAGTCTTTAATTCCCTCCTACACCTAACAAAGAAGCTCTGGATTTTACCCTTACTAAACATAGGCTGGTGTTCCAAACAAGTTTCAGTCAACTAAGCATTTAAGCTGCAGTGCCACCCGTGTGAAGTAACACCTTAAGTCTGGAATTTCTAGTGTGTGCACCAATGTCAATGAATTTAGTCTGATCTAGTGCTATGTTTTACCCTTCTTGGCCTAACATCTTCAGAATCTAATCCTATACATGTTCTCTGGGCTACTGCTGATTCACAAGCAAAATCTTGCAATGCCTTTGGTGATAAGCTATTTCTTCCTGAGTCATGATGTGTACTAACCCCCTGGACTCTGGTTATGGATTCTATCCTCATTCAATCCTCATACGGGTTTGATTCCTCATGAGCACCCCTTTTTAAGACCTCCTTCTCCAAAAAGGTTATCATCCAGTTTTCAACCAAAGGAAGGTTTGTTTTCTCTATTAAGGAAGGGGAAAATCTAAAGAATATAGGAAGAGAACATAGGGCAGTCACTACTTGTAGGGCTTAGACAGAGCACGTAAGAAATGGATAGATAAGGAATTGGACACTTCTGCCCTGGGCTTGAGCTCACACTTCCCTGAAAGGGTCACAGTGAGGAAACTTGAAGTGAAGCCTCCCTGGGGTGGGTGGACAGAAGAGGCCACCTATGGGTAGGTGTTGCTCTGTGGAAGACTCTGGAATATTGTCTGTCTATACCTTGTGCTGCTGCATCTGAATGGGGGTGAGCACCAACCACTAGGGATCCCCCTTGCGCTGACCTCTGTGCCTTGTTAAGGCCTGGCAAGTCAGGAGCATCACTGGACCCAGAAAGACAAGCTCCATCCTCCCCCAGGGTCCCTCCAGTGCTCTCTACTGATAGAGCTTGGCATCTGGTTAGCAGGCAAAGGAGAAATGTTCTGGTATCACAAGTGGGACGATCAAGGTGGACGTGGAGCTGACAGGCATCAATCACCTGCACATTTGGCCTGGGAAGGACACAGGCAGCTCCCTTCTTTGTTGCCTGCCTATCTCTGAGTTCCCCTTGCTTTCCCTTGGTGTCTTTTTTCCTGTAGCCTGGGAATCTTTATTACGCCTGGGGCTCAGCAGCCTGGCTCTTGACTGCCAAGTTTGTCCCAAATTTGGTGTTCCTTTTTGTCACCCTGACAACTACCTTTCTAAATCCAAAAATCTAAAATTGATTACCATCTTCACTATTTTCTGCTGTCAAGTTTCTTTTAGGCAATCACACAGAATTGTTTAAGTGATTGAATGAAAAACACTGAAGGAAGGGATCTTGGTTTTTAAATCAAAATATGATCTACCATATCTATAGAGTAAAAATATTATATTAAAATCCATATCCATTTAAATATTGGTATGGAAATATGTGAAAATCTTCTTGACTTTAGCATTATAGTAATAACTTTAAATAGCTTTATAGTTACCTCAACTATTATCCATCAAATTGAGAGAAATATCCTTTGACATTTAAATATAGCTTCCATATGTCTGTCTTGCCAGTTTTTATGTGGTAGAAAACTTTTTAATAGATGCATTGCATTTCTATATAGGTTGTCAAAGTATTTTAAAGCAAGAATGGAACTGTTGTGAATATCTTATTGTGCTTTTACCTAGCCAGCATAACAAATGATTTCACATTTTTGGCAGGATGTCATGCTTTCCTTGCTGCAAGTTCATACATAACTCTTGTGGTTTTAAAAGTATGTTTTCAGAATACTTTAAAGTCCATGGTATTGCACATAGTAAGGGATGATTCCCCTCTGGAAGCTTCAACTTACAGTGTTCAGCAAAGTCCATGCTTTTCATAAAGGAGAGACATACAAACCTGGACCTTATGCTGCTGTATATGCTACAGGTGAAAGACCAAGACCAGTTTCCTCCCTGATGATTACAAAGGAAACTGGCTAGAAGTAAGGCTGTACTGACAAAACAAAACAAACAAGGAAACAACCTCCTTCATTCTTGGCTGCTAACTAAGCTCTTGCCCTTAGATTTGGTGGTTGCCCTGAACTGCAGCCAGAAGCCTCTTAACAAATGGCAGATGAACTTGCAGGGAAAACTTCTTGCTTTTGGTTAATGGTGGCCTTTCCTGTCCAGTTTCCATGGAGACAGATCTGTGAAAATCATGTAAAAGCAACTATTTTATAAAACAGGATATTAAAATTCTTCCTCTTCCTTTACTGGTTTCACATCTGTTTTCATCAAAACTAGAATGGTAACATTAAGGCCAGCAAGTGAAAATGAAATCAGTGGTTCACTTCCATTGCTGGAAACCCAAATCTCTCTTTAGTTAAGGTGATTAAAGTACATCTGTTTCCTTTCTATTATAGCTTAGGTAAAGCCTGCACAGCCAAATTAAGCATTGGATTTGGTTCTATACCATGTTTTGATCATTTTGTTAAATGTTCTGAAATCAGCATGTAGCAACTTTTAAAAAGTAAACATCTGTCACCAAGAAAATAGGTAGATAGTTTGGTTGGCCACCCATTGGATTGCTCATCTTAATAGGCACAATTGTTGCCTATTAAAAAAAATGAGTAACAATGTGCTGTACCCAGATGCAAATTATTTTATTGGCTGTCGTCAGTGAAACACATTGTGTTTGGAACAGTAGTGATGGATAAGAATAGAATCCTCCATACTTGCTCTGGATCTCCTGGTTACTAATGGCAAGACTGATAGAGGTCTTGCAATAAGATATTTAGGGTAAAGCTGTGTTTGTCAAATCAACTCTTGTTTTCAGGGGCTGCAAATTTAACCCAAAGTGTTAAATTTTGTGTTCTTATTTTGATGATAATCTTAGAACATTTTATTTTAGCATTTAGAGAAATCTCTTAAGCAGTAACATGCCAAGATAACTTTTTCAAAAACAGAATAAGATACTAATTTAAGCCAATATTTACCAAATGGAGCTCTTGCAAACTTCAAATGGTTTGCTGATATATTCTCAGAGTTCAATTTTTTTTTAGAAAGAATCCATATATTATGCCAGTTTGAGAAAACCTACAGATCAGACTTTTTGCTCTCGTCTTACTTTGTGTGCTACAGTAAAACAAAAAGCAACCAAAAATCAAGTTTTTAGATGACTCAAAGAAGACATTATCTTTTCTAGAACCAGTCCCTTCTTCACTAAAATGGGATTTGGTTGGACTGTTATGCCTCCAAGGACATAAAGTATGTGAAAAAAAATCTATAAACTGTGAAGTGCTGTCCTGTGGTAGAGCGGCAGTGGTGGTGCTTGCTGTAGGGTAATGATTATGCTAGAAGACTTACTACCCCAGAAAGTATCTTGCATGCTGTGTGTATGTGTTAGCACCTGTTTCTTCACCAATAAAATGTACCTGTTAATAAGTTTGCTGTGGGAAAAAATAAGATAATGCATGTAAAGTAGTAGTCATGGTGCCGGCATGTGTGAGTCATGGGGATTAATACTCTATTCTCAGCATTACAGTTCTTATATATAATTTATTATTATACTTACATCATCTACAATTAAACTGTATGAGTCATCATTCTCTGTAAAAAATTTAAGATTATTGCATGAAAACTTTAACAATGGAATTGTCAATAGTAATAATTATTCCAGTAGGATACCTTAGCTTTCTAATACTGTCCTGTGTATGAATCTTAAGTTGACTGAATGTTAACTTACTCAAATGAACTTTTATGCAATTAATTCAGCCCATCAGGAGCAGTAAACATAATTCTGTTAACTACAGACTTGTCAAATTAAATAAATAGCAAGAATTTTTAGTTTCTGAATTAATCTGATGCTGATAGCTGGCAGTACTGGGCTGAGACCCCTTAAATGAACTGTAAGCCCACCTGTACTTCAGGGCTTCAAGAATCCCCCCTGGGCAGCCATGTTGCAATCACACTGGGTGGCAGGCAGCAAAATGGTCCTAGGTCACTACTGCCCTCTGGTGTTTGATTAGGGAAGCAGCAACTTCTGATATGAAATAATAGGGAATTATCAAACCCAGTGTCACCTCAGGCTCTTTCTCCATTTCCTCACTACTCCAACCCATCCCTTCACTAGGAGGGTATGCATGCACATACCTCTCCCCACCATCATCTGTTTCTAATCTGAGTTAAATTCATTCCTCTTATCTATTCTTTCATGCACACATGTATCATTTATACTCATTTCTCTTTTCATCTGTCTTCCAACTATTTGCTCTCTAATGCTGAGAAATCTCTCTCTCCTTCACATTACATGATTTCACCCTTCTCTCCATGTAAAAGGACAACAATAATTATGACTGTTTTGGGAGATACAGGGAGGGATAAAGTCTGGATCAAGGTAAAAGAAAGTTATAGTATCAACATTAAAAAGATCCATAGAGGCTCAGTGCTGCCAAACCACAAAACTTTTCAAAGTATATTGAAGGATGCGGTATCTCTAGAATAGTCCAACTTCACTGCATAGGATGAATTAACTGACTTTGACTTAAGCACTGGGATTACTGATGCATTTTTACAACATTTTTCAATGGCATTGTTTTTCTCTGTTACATAATTACAGCACTCCATAATGGGACCTACTTTCTGCCATGTTTGAGATGATGGTCAGTTTTTGGCTACAAAACCAGTCCTTAGGAACCCTCTAAACCCTGGCCTTTTCTCTTCTGTTGCCTTTTCTGTATCTTCCTCTTTCAGCTTGAGTGAATAGATATTCCTCACATTGATCAGGATAGAAAAATTATGTTGCTCTAACAAATAGTCCCCAAAATCCCTTGGCTTGACAGCACTGAGGCTTATTTCTCACTCAAAGTTGGGCTGGTCAGGTGGCATTCCTGGGTCATATGACTGTGCCATCTAGAATAGCAATAGAGGAGGACAGAGACAGAAGGAAGGAAACACTTGGCTTGGAAATGCCTCATCCTTAGACAGATGGACATCATTTTTATTGGCCAAAAGTAGTCATATGGCACCCTCCAAAACTGGAGGGGGTCTAAAAAGTGGAGTCATAATCATCTTTGCCACACTCCTCTTTCTTTTGATCTGAGCTTTGAATTGTAGTCTCATTTTTTTCAATTTTAAGTGCTCATTCCCACTTAGCCATCTTTTTTTTTTAAACCTGTTTCTCTTCTCAAGCTTTCTCCATAATCAAAACAAAATATCATGTCAACCCTGGAGCACCTCTTAATTCCAACCCAAACTTTTCTATCTTTCTTCTCCCAAACTTCACTGCATCCCTTTGTGCTTTGGGGACCTTTGATTTCCTGTGTAAATCCAACCTGCAAAACACTACAAATCAGTTTTTTGAAATCCATATTTTCATCCAGTACCACATTTTCTCAGATTCTGCAGTGACTTCTTATTTATTACCTCTAACTCTTCCAAGCCTGGCCCTAATGTGTGCTAATTTATCCTGTCTTTTTTGTGGCTAAGATTTGTCTCTCTCCAGCTGAATTTTCAGGAGCACTCACAAGCAAGCCCTTTGACTATGGACTAACGGAGATATGTGTTTCCTGGTTCACAGAACCAGATCTTTCAGGACAAGGACCATGGCGGGGGTATTTAGCATGGTCCTGGGAATTCCATAAACACCTAAACATCTGATAAAATGCACCCTTCCTTTTCAAGACTGTTGTTTGTAAAGTTTAATACATTTATACAATTAGTAAATGATTTAGTTGTTATATGAAATGTACTCTCAGAAGCTATAATAATGATAAGGTAAATGAAAGTAGACCCTTGAAAGAGAGCAGTGTAATATATTTTATTTCTTCTATATCATAGGATGAAAAACTATAGCATATCATACTAATTTGGATTAAAATTTAAATTCTTATTCAGTCCTCTTGAGGGAATATTGTTACACTGGAACTCAACAAATGCTTCCTGGTGGTCAGCAATGTAGTGTTGAAAATTTGTTTTCTCATTTTATACAGCTTCCTCCAGCTTTGCATCACAATTTGAAGAGAAGGGTTATAGAGAGATTCAAGAAATCCCTCTTCAGCCAGCAGAGTAATCCTTGTAATTTGAAATCTGAAATTAAAAAGGTTTGTATTGTATATCTAGTAATTCTTCCATTGACAAAAACATATCCTCCAAGTTTTATTTTATACCTCCTTTACTTTGTACCTTAAGCTGTATTCTCTTTTGAAGGGTATTATCCCTGCTTAAAATACTAAATAGAAGGTATATTTTTGCCTCTGGTTTCTCACCTGTATTTTTGTGAGCATTATTTTTAGATGACTAATAGAGAGTTCTTTCAGTATTACTGAAATTTTCCTGAGAAATATTATACACACAAACCACAAAAATAAATAGTTATCTTTAATTTAATGTGTATGTTTTAGCCTGATTTAGGATTCCAGCACAATGATTGATTAGTGAAGCCTAACACATGCCCCTAGGTGTAACTTTGCCACTCTGAAGATGTCAGTTTACCATCTGAGACCACAATTGTTATGACTTGTGAGGGCTGTAGGAACCGTTTCAGAAGTTCTTCTCATCTTCAACAGTCTATAATATTCTTCTCTTTGGGTGCTAGCAAATATTTCAATTCATATATACAGAAATTGAATTACTAAATCAACCAGAGTAGAAGGAAGTAATTTACCTCTGTTTAACACAACTTGGTAACAGGAAATCCCTTTGTCCTGGAAGTGGCCATAGCTTCCCTTCTGTCCCTGAAAGGCCCAAGGCCAGGCAGTTGGGAACTGCATGGGTGAAGATGCTTGGTCTCCCTCCAGTTTCCTATTTTTAAAAAAGTTTTCCTCATATACTTAAACCTTGGCAAAATCGTGCTGCTAGTGAACTTTTCCTTTCAGGCTTCTTTTTCCTTTAATGGATGTAATCTTAAGCATGACTTACTCATCATTTGAGAAATATGATAGGTTGTTTGATAAGAGCCATAAGCTCTGCTTTTCACTTTGTTGGCTCACTTAAGTGAGGTTCACACTATTGATGTACCCATACTCTGAAAGGAGATGGAGAAGCTATAGCAACAAGTAAACAAAACAAAACAAAAACCCAGCTTGCCAGAGACTTGAGAGCAAAATCCCTTCACGTTTTGTGTTGGAAAACATGGCCAAGAAGCAGAGTTATAGAGGAGATCAAAGCAGAGGTGGGGAGACCTCAGATATTTATTTTATGATATCCTGAATGCCAATATGTATATTTTAAAAGACAAATCTTCCATGAAAGATTATATGTTGCTTGGTTTTTATGTTCTTATTAAAGTAGCATTCAGAATAATCCAGTTTATACACAAACTTATTTTAGCAGAAATCCTGGTTTTATGAGATGAAAGTGTCTGTGGCAAACTGATGCACAGAGTAGCTGCGCCTCTCCCACTCAGTGGTTTTCCACTAGTACATGTCCTTAAAGAAAATAGTTTTCTTCTTTATTATGCAGGTTTGGGTTTTGCATCCCTCCCTTACTGTCTTTCTTTCCTCCCCTGATAGCAAAGACATATCCTTTTATTAAATTGTCCCCACTGTTTTGGCCTCTGGGCTTTCCTCCCCTGTGTCGTGGTAAAATCTTATTAGAGCACTTGTGTTCCCCCTGGTCTAGGGAAGAAAAATGGTAATTAAAGAGGCGGTAGCAGTGTTTGGAGCTCAAGCGAGGGAGTCCAGGGAGATACACTTATCCTTATTTTCAGCTGAGGTAGGAGACAGATCAAACTCTCCTGCGAAGGATGCTGTGGTTGCCTTCTCTGATACTGTAAGGCGCAGCCATCTATGGGACACCTGGTGTGGATGCCGCGGTTGAGAAGGGACCTCTTGGCTCATGATCAGCAGTTGTGGCCCAGTTCCTCCACAGGCTGCTCTAGACTGGAGCCAACGCCCATGAAGGATGTTTATATTATCATGATGTTCACCCTCCTAACTGGCAGGTGGCCTCACCTCCTGTGTGGTAAAGAAACTTTCAGTCTGGATGTTAAAGTACTTCCTTTCTTTGTAGAAGAACAAGTCAGCCCTTCCATAAGACCTTTCCTAATTTTCCCTGTCCAGAATCAGCCTCCCCTTTCTCTGTTCCTGAATCACTTTAAATAGCTTTTTATCTGTCTTACATTTCTGCTCAAAAGCAGTGAGTGACTTTTATTCATCTTTGATTCCCCAGGGTCCTGCATAGTTCCATGTGGTAGGTACTTAATGTATAATTAGTTAATATAGAATATATTCTATAGTTATATATTCTGTATGAGATAGTCCATATTTCTTAAATCCTTAATTAAAACATGCTGATATAATACAGTACATTCATATATTCATATGTGAATGTGGAAAGGAGATCCTGCTACCACTAAACCTAAAGGAGAAGTTTGTGGCCTCAGTTTTCCCCTTTCTGGTACAATTTTTTCCTTGCAATAATTTTTGTTCAGAAATGGATTTTTCATCCCTGAATAGTCACAGAAGAGCAGCCAACTAGCTTGTGACTGACCAAGTCACACCCTCCCCAGGACTGTGGCGACAGTAGTATGATAACACATAAAGTGTACCTGATTTTCACCTTTCTCTTTTTCCTAATATCCAGGGACTCCATGTCTCCAGTTTGAAGGAGTCATTATGAGATGATTGTGCCTACTTATTAATGGACTAAGACCCAGTGGGATATGTAGAGAAATCAAAAAATGGAAAAGTCCTTTTCTAAGAAGTTAAGCTCTTTATTTATAGCTCACCTAAGGTGGTCTGCAGTACAGATTTTTCAGTCTTGGCTGGAATTGTGCAGGGAGCAATAAAGCAACTGAGTAATTATATGTGTATCTTGGGAACTGGGATTTTTAGTATGGGAAGAAGAAGAAACAGAAGCAAGATAAAAGAGATTAATTCAAATTAGCATTGGCAATACCATGTGAATGAGTATAAATCCATGATAAGTCTAATCTTTAACAAATACACGTTTCCCAGCATATTCACTAAATCACCTAGAAGTTAATCAGTCAGCCGTGAGCTCCTCTATCCATGGCTCTGTGGAACTATAGCTGATTGGCCAACAGTAGAAAGTATACAAGTTTAGCCTAGAATATCTTGACGAAACAGCACAGTATGGATGCTGTCAAGCTATGGAGGGTGTATTAGTGAGGGTGTGGCTCAGTGGTAGTATGCTTGCCTAGCATGCGTGAGGCCATGGCTTTAGTCCCCAAAACTGAAAAAAAAATTAAAAAGCCACCCTCAGCACTCAACTTGAGGAAGTTTCTATTGGCTATCTATGGAGCATCACTAAGAATAATAACCACAATGGATTGAAAGAATTAAATAATGTTTAAGTCCAAGAGTTCATAATGATATGAAGGAAAAAAACTCTCATTGGTTACTTTTGGAGAGTGCTAAGTAATACATTTATTATTTTTAAATTATTTACAAAAGAAAAAAAATCAATCATTTGTTCTCACTTTCCTTTATTAATTCTATCTCAAAGTAACTAAATTGCTATTGGGGCATTTTCTTATTATAGAAGTACTTCAGCTAATAACTGCTGAAGAAATAAAGAGTATTATAGTTTTGTGTTCTGCATTCCCTAATGAAAGAAAGGATATACATATGATGACCCATGACTGCTAACATCATAAAAAGAGGGGTGACTTGACACTGTATGCCACCTGATGGAAGTAATTGCACTATGTTGGGCTCTTGCTAAAAGCTCAGATCTAATCTGATCAAGCCTCTAAATGTGATGTCAATAAACTCTAACCCTCTAGCCAACTTGGGTTGGCTGGGTTTTTCAAATGAAGTTTCAATTTTCACCACCACATGTACTCACTTACACATTGTCTATGGCTACTTTTGTATAACAGGCAAAGCTGATTAGCATAGGCAGACTATATGTGGATCCCAAGTTGAAAATATTGACTAATTCTTTATAGAAAAAAGTTTACAGTCCCTGCCCTAGATCTAGCTTACTACTTGCAGTGAGTACGAGGAACAAGAAAACATAAATTAAATGACACCATGGGTATAATCAGCAAAAGTCTATAGGAGAAGTGACATATTTTCCTCAGTAAATAAATTGCAAGGAGTGGAGAGGAGGAGAGAAGAGGGACGGAAAGAAGAGAGGAGTGAGAAGAAGAGAAAGGAGGAGAGGGATTACTATAGATTAAAGCTTGAAACATTTTAGGGAAGGTAACAACTACTTGCAGTATGTGGATTTACTCCTTTCTGACTTAAATAAGTGCTCAAAAATTTAAAATATATACTTAGGAGATAACCAGGAAAATGTAAGCACTGGTGGTATATTTGTTTCATTAAGGAATAACTTCTCTTAAGTGGAATAATTGTGTTGTGGTTTTGTTTTAAAAAAGAAGTCCCTATTTTTTCAAGAGCCATGCTGAAATATTGCGAATGACATGATGTCTCCAATTTGTGAGCGTAGGACATACACAGGCAGGAAGGGAAATGGAAGTGATATAAATGAGGCAAGATTGGCCAGATTTAAGTTGGGCAATGAGTTTGTGCAGTTCATTGTATTGTTTTCTCTCCTTTTTAAATGTTTGAATTTTTTTATATTAAAAAGTCATATGCTTTATTTGCTTGCTGTCAGTATTAATGCCAGGCTCCTCTAGACCAATGTATGTGCATTAACATTTTGAAAACCACTCTCCTGGCAAAGTTACCACACAAAATTGGACAGGTTATATCCTATCCAAGAGCACCTGGATGTAAGGATTGGCTGGGACCAATCCTTGTGGGAAGAGGGGACTATTTGTAATTTCCATGAATGTACAGTGGGTGGGGTCATTGGAGCACTGGCTTCAAATTATATAGTCATAGCTGAGAATCATTGCATTGCTTGTGAGTTACAACATCATTGGGGTCAAAGATTAAAACAAACAAAAGAATTTAGACCCAGTTGGGAAACAGCTGGCTGTGTAAGCATTCAACCATGTCCTGGAGTTTAGTTTTGCCATTCACTGGAATTACCTAGAGTCTTTAAACATACCAACACAGCACCCCAGGACCTGTGCTCCTGGGAGCTGGGTCTCCCGGGGTTGGAGTCTTCTAAAAGCTCGCAAGTGACTCCAGTGTATAGCCTGAGGCTGAAAGTTAGCAGCCTG